AGCAGCAAGCCTTCGCCCAGATCAAGCAGGAGATTGCTCATGCAGTAGCCCTTGGCCCAGTCAGGATGGGATCAGATGTGAAGAACGTGCTCTACTCTGCAGCCGGGAACCATGGTTTGTCTTGGAGCCTGTGGCAGAAGGTGCCTGGTGAGACTAGGGGTCGACCACTGGGATTCTGGAGCAGAAGCTACAAAGAATCTGAAGCCAACTACACTCCCACAGAGAAGGAGATCTTGGCCGCCTATGAAGGAGTTCAAGCTGCCTCAGAGGTGGTTGGCACAGAAACACAACACCTCCTGGCACTCCAACTACCAGTGCTGGGCTAGATGTTCAAGGGAAAGGTGCCTTCCACACATCACGCCACTGACACCACATGGAGCAAGTGGATTGCTCTCATCACTCAGCGCCCATATTGGGAATCCAAATGGCCCTGGGATTCTGGAAATAATTACAAACTGGCCTGAAGGTGAGACTTTTGGATTGTCTTCTGAAGAAGAAGAGGAGCAAGTGGCACGTGCTGAGGAAGCCCCACCATATAATGAGCTACCGGAGGCTGAAAGACGATATGCCCTCTTCACTGATGGCTCCTGCCGAATTGTAGGCTCTCACTGGAAATGGAAAGCTGCAGTATGGAGCCCCACACGACAAGTTGCACAAGCTACCGAGGGACAAGGTGGATCGAGTCAGGTCGCAGAGCTAAAAGCCGTCCAGTTGGCTTTGGATATTGCTGAACGAGAGAAGTGGCCAAGGCTCTATCTCTACACTGACTCATGGATGGTAGCTAATGCTCTGTGGGGATGGCTGGATCACTGGAAAAAGGCCAACTGGCAACGCAGAAGGAAACCCATATGGGCAGCTGAGATTTGGCAGGACATTGCTGCCCGAGTAGAGAAACTGACCATAAAGGTTCGACACGTGGATGCACATGTACCCAAAAGCCGAGCTAATGAAGAACATTACAACAACGAGCAGGTGGACCGAGCTGCCAAAGTGAAAGTATCACAGGTAGATCTAGACTGGCAGCACAAGGGAGAATCATTCCTAGCTCGTTGGGCCCATGATGCCTCTGGTCATCAGGGGAGAGATGCGACGTACCGATGGGCCCGTGACCGAGGGGTGGACCTTACCATGGACAGCATCTCACAGGTCATCCATGACTGTGAGACCTGTGCCGCAATCAAACAGGCCAAGCGGGTGAAGCCTCTGTGGTACGGTGGACGATGGTCGAAGTACAGGTATGGGAAAGCCTGGCAAATTGACTGCATCACCCTTCCCCAAACCTGCCAGGGCAAACGCTACGTACTGACCATGGTGGAAGCAACTACAGGATGGTTAGAAACCTACCCTGTGCCTTATGCCACTGCCCGGAACACCATCTTGGGCCTAAAAAAACAAGTCCTTTGGAGGCATGGTACCCCTGAGAGAATTGA